CAAATGTACGGCCCCATTTATTCAATGGATTGAAGACCTGATTGCACTTGCCACCTATGAGTGGATTGCTTATAGATGTAGACTTTGTATGAATAAATATAATGAAACATGGGACTCATTTATACAAAATATACTGGGTTTAAATATTAAATATATATATATGTACTTGAATAATAATTGTATTCAATAAGCACATATAGAATTATAACTGTTTGCTGATAATAATGATGTATTAACACTTTTTCTTTTTGTTGTATTTTTTTCACTTTTATGTTAAAGTACTTTTATGCATTTTTTCCCTTCTTTTTGTAATCAAAAAATTTAAAAAATAAATTGAAAAAGAGAATTGTATCATATAGGCGTAGAGAGATAGAGATGATAGAGCTAGAGCTAGAGCTAGAGCTAGAGCTAGAGATAGAGATAGAGATAGAGATAGAGATAGAGATAGAGATAGAGATAGAGATAGAGATAGAGATAGAGAGATGCCCTTGGAAATGTTCTTCATTATTTCATCTATTCATTCTTTTTTTCTTTCTTAGGTGTGAGTCTGTTGGTGCCACATGGAGCGATTCCTCAGGGGAAGTTCTATGAAATGTATCTGATGATCAACAAAGCAGAAAACACTCTGTAAGTAGAACCGATAATGTATCTTGTCCTGTTTTTTACTTTGACCTGCCCAAGCCTAAAAGTAATGTGGAACATGTCCAGTTAACATGTCCTTTTTATTATTATGTTATTGTAGAACAGCCTTCCCCACCGCCATACATGCCTTTAAACGTTCAAATGTTAGCCTGCCAGACTAGATCCAAGGTGATTTTCTTGCACATAGGTCCCAGTGTGCAGAATTATTTTACTCAGTTCCAATTCCTAATAGAGGAAATTAAAGTGCAAATAACTTAGTCCCTTGTCTACGTGGTTGCACTGTCCTTTGGATATTAGACATACTCTGCTCCTTTCTGCAAAAGTCATATTACATCTTTTGATTTCCAGTCAAGGAGTGTAGCTACAAGTAGATTGCTTAAAACACCCTTCCCCAATCTTGTGCCTTCCAAATGTAATGAACCAAGTCCCATAGCGTGGCCTATTGTTGAGATCCAATACATCTCAGTGGAAAAGGCTTCCAGCACCTTGCCGAAATCAAAGGATTGTAGCTTTAGGAGTTGACTGATGATTAAATCACTGTTTAGCTGGATAGGGCCAAGTCAGAAAAGTGACTGGGGTAAAGAAGAGAAAAAAAGGTCAGGACAAGGAAAAATAACAATAATATTCTAATTTAAATATTAAAATAGCTCAAGGAAAAGAGCATTTCACACTTTAAAAAGAACAGAATACTACATTTGTTAAAATGACTTATGCACTAGTGAATTCCAGCAGCAAGGTGTGGATTAATATCTCTACTCCCATTTTGGTTATCTTGTTTCTGTTCAAGAATATAGAGTTCCATTTTCTCAGATGCCCTTTTCCATTTCCAAGCTTTCTTCAAGCTCCTTACTCTGCAATAACTCCACAGAGCCAACAAAAGTATCTTGTGTTTGTCCTTTGTAGCTTACCCTCTGAAGGCACACAGACAGTGCTGAGTCCCAGAGTGACCTGTGGTCCTACAGGGCTGCTCCTATGCCGCCCAGTCATCTTGACTGTTCCACACTGTGCAGATGTCACTTCCCCAGACTGGATGTTGCAGTTGAAAACCCAGTCCCACCAAGGACACTGGGAGGTAAGCTGAATTAACCAGAGAATAGATGATGATGATGATGATGATGATGATGATGATGATGATGATGATGATGCTGATGATGATGATGATGCTGATGATGATGATGATGCTGATGATGATGATGATGCTGATGATGATGATGATGCTGATGATGATGATGATGCTGATGATGATGATGATGCTGATGATGATGATGATGCTGATGATGATGATGATGCTGATGATGATGATGATGCTGATGATGATGATGATGCTGATGATGATGATGATGCTGATGATGATGATGATGCTGATGATGATGATGATGCTGATGATGATGATGATGATGATGATGATGATGATGATGATGATGACAACGACATTGGAATGAAATCTTATAGAAGAAGTTGTAGTTCCAGTTGTGGAAGTTCAATGTATGTTGCTTATCCATCTGTGGAGCAATTCAATTATTTGATACTGAAAACTTATTTTCACATTGTAAAGCATTGTAGATGGTTATTTTTCAGTATTATTTGTCTACCACAACTAAATAATCTTCTCTCATTAATTAATGTTGTTGAACCCAATTGTTCAGAATCATGAACTGCTCCTTCAGATGTCTATTTTTAATCATCTTTACTTAAAAACAAAACAAAACCCTGCCTCCTTAATATCTAGCAGCCTTTCCCAGTTCTAGATCCCCTGTAGTTATGGGGAAAACAGCCTTCTACTGCCTCAGCCAGCATGGCCAATATTTAGGGATGAAGGTGATTGTAGTCCAGCCAGATCTGGGGAAGCAAACTCAGAAAAGACTAACATTTCTATTCGACTCAAAAGTACTCAGTGCAGCTAGAAAATGTGCATAATATATTTATACAATATATTTCACAACAGTAATACTTCCTGCCAAGGGACATAGCAGGGCCAAATGTATGCAGGAATGATGGAAACTCCTACATATCCCATCAAGCATTACAGGCCATATTTTGCAAAGTATGTTATCAACTATCAACTATGATATCAAAGTATCAACTACAGTCTTCAAAATAAAGGAAGTGTCAACAAGGTTTCTTAACTTCAAAATTACGTTTTCAACTTAACTTTTCTTATCACAGATATTCAGTTCATGTCTATTTTAAAGAACACAATATGTACAGCCCCCATAATTGGGGAGGCAAACTTTTAAGTAGTGTCCATAGCTTGGAATTAGGCACCCAAGTGGAACTTACCATGTTTTTGCTCTCCTCACCCCCTTTTTCTCCTCCAGGAAGTTGTGACCCTGGATGAAGAGACTTTAAACACACCCTGTTACTGCCAGTTGGAACCCAAGTGCTGCCATATCCTGCTAGACCAGCTTGGAACGTATGTCCTTGTGGGGGAATCCTATTCTAGGTCAGCCATCAAGAGATTGCAGCTTGCCATCTTTGCTCCCACCCTCTGTACCTCATTGGAATACAATCTCAAAGTCTATTGCCTGGAGGACACACCTGATGCTTTAAAGGTAATGTATAGCTGAAGTTCTTTCTTTTCTTCTTTCCCCTTCCCTATCCTCTGTCCTATCAATAAATAGTTCATAGTCAGTTAATACTTTTCCCACCCCACCCCCAATTATTTAAGGGGTAATTCAGCATGACCTCCTCCATCTAGGTGTTCTCCAAATGTATTGGACTATAATTCCAATCTTCTTAGTCCATTGGCTAAGTCCTTTGACTAAGCTGGCTGGGTGTGATTTGAATTGCATTACAACTCACCTAGAGGACAATGACTTGTGGAAAGCTGTTGCAGAACATATTTGTGATCCTGATAGGAAAATCCACAAACCAGAGAGGGTATTTTTCCTTCATGACACTGTATGATGAGTTGCTTACCTTAGACTGCACAGAAAACTGATGTTTGCTCCACACAGCTTTAACTGAGACTTGACATATGTGTCATTTAAAACAAAACAAAAAAACCAAGTGCATCTCCTATTGCTTTCCTACTAGGTTACTCTGGGTCATACCAGCAGTGGCGTGATTGGGATTGTGTTTTAATAAACTTTGCCTTAGCTTTTATACTATTCAGTTCACCAGCAGCCAGGCAATCATGTTGCAGGAGTTTAAATGTAGATGCCTACAAGATCAGCACAAAAGCTTTGCCAAGTAAACTATTTTCCATTGGTATATCTAAGTTTGTCCTTCAGTGAGAGAAATAGAGGTGGATATCTGTCCACAGATACCATTATTAAAGCTTTCATACCAATTCAGACCCAGAAGTCTTCAGTACAGGAAATTCAGTTATTAGACCAGCGTCCTCAGTCTGTTGCCTTTCTATGTATCACTGGACTGATCCCAATCTGTACGGCCAATGGTCAAGGATTAGGTTGTACATCTCTTAATATGTGGAGGTGGACAGCATTAGGTCTGGGAAGTTGCATAAGAATTCATTTGAATTATATCAAGTGATGTAGATTTATGTCTGAATCACCCTTAACTCCTGAAATTTCCAAGAATCTAAGATCCTAATAAATGTTCTAAATTTATTTATTTTTAATTAGGACTGGAGGAGGGGGCGATGTGTTCCATAAACTAAAGATTAATTCACCGTGCTTATTAGTCGTTGGATTTCTCTACATTTGATTACTATGTACTTGATGATTCATGTGTTCCATAGAAAAGCATTGTGTTTGCATAATGTTACATATGCAAGCAATTGACATGGTTACCATCAAAAGATGATCTATTTTTGAATCCTCTTCTTTAAATATCCAAGAACACACCTGCACCTTGTAGAAATGCTTGCCTCTCTGTTTCCTATTCTGGACCTATACCATTGGATTTCCCATAAGCTATAATACCTTATTCAAGAAAATTGGTTGCTCAGTTCTTCTTGTCCAACTGTATCATTTGCTCTTATTTTGGACTTCTCTGCCCCAAAGAGGGCTTTCTGGTAATCCAAGCATGCAATGTGACTTAGAAAAGTGTCACTCAGGGGAGCAAAACAGCCTGATGCAATGAGTTGAAAAGTGACCCAGGGTTGATTTCAATAATAAGTTCCTTTAACCCATTCCTTAGGGAGCAGCCCTGATATTTTCCATGAGGCTCCCAGGAGGAAAAAGAAAGTATTGCAAGGACTATTGTGTGTCCTATTTTGAAGATATAATACAAAGTCATTTTTTTCATAGTTTTTTGCCATGGCAAATAAATTTTTTCTTATTAATTATTACTAACATAGATTAAGTGTAGACTTCTAATCCTGATACAGATATTAAGATGAGAGAAAGGAAAACAACAGCATCCCAACTTAGATTGCATAGATTGCAACATAGTTGTGTGTTGCAACTCTTTAAACTGAATATGAACGTCTTGGAATATTGTTTTGTCAAACAGCTGACAGCCTAAGGGAGATGGGAAAAAGGCTGCAAAAAGGAAGAATTACTCTACTTTGCTCTTTCATTCCTGCAGCCATAGGCACTATCATTTTCCTTGACCACTTGTCCTAGTTCTCCATAACACCACTCTATATATGCTAGCAGGATCACCATGTACAAACTATAATTTGTATCCAAGTACCCTAGACAACCTAGAAGACTCACTGTAGCTTTAGTTTAGGGTTATCCCCTAAAAGTCCTGCCCAGGACTCTTTAGCAAAGGTAAGTATAACTCTAGAACTTCTCCACCTTTGGTCATTAGCCTCTTCAACCAAAGAAAATCTGAGAAAGGGGATGAGTTTTCCAATTTGATATATTTCTTAAGTCATAAGAGTTATAGAGGAGAGCTGAAAATCACATTATTCTATTGCCTTTGTTTTAAGATAGAATCTCTGATAATCTACATTGCATATACTCTCTTCTATCATGCAGCTGAACAATCTTGTTATCTGACTGAAGCTTCTCTGAAGAAGATAAAATAATGATTAATCATGTAATCAAATACAATGTAAAATGTATATTAACTGGGACTATACAAATGATTAACCAGACTTTTTACACTTAACAAGTCCATCTTTCCCAACCCCAGTGCTTCCAGTTGTGTTGGGTCATGATTCCCAGAATTATAAGCCATCATGACTAAACACTGTGATAGATGGCAATTTTGAATGGTGTAAACAGTATATCCGGAGGGTACCTGTTCAGGGAGGCTGCATTAACTACTTACTGTGATCTTTCAAGTACATTTTAATTCGCTGCTTTTCAGGGTTCAAGGGAGATACAAAAATTAACAGATTCATAATCTCTGTAAGTTGGTAGATAGCAGTTTAATGGGGTGTTGAGCACATTCTTGCCCTGCAGAATCAGGCATCAGTCTTTGGTAAAAGATCTCAAATTGTAAGACTGAGAATAAGCCAGTAGTCTGACCTGTTTGAGGCCCACTGTCAGTCTGTCTTGATTTGGTCTGGTCTGGTCTAAATATCACAGTCCTCTCCATAAGGTCTTCATCTAATTAATGTAATGGCATCATTTATCATTTCAACATTCTCTTCCAGCTTCCAGTTCCAATAACTGATCTGGAGATTATGGAATCATGGAACACATATTCTGATTTGCATTTGTATATGACCCAGTCTGCCCTTGATAGCAGGTCACAAGTTAAGCAGGTCTAGAATAGGTTTTCCTGTGGTTTTTCATAGCCATAGTTTCTTTGTAATTAAAGTTTAAAGGCCAGTTATGAAGAAACCACAAGAAACTGCCTAGTTGCTGTTCCTCTGAAAACACCTATTGTCAAATTATTTCCAAACCCTATCAATAATGTTCGCACCACTTTGCATGCCTAATGAAAGTGACCCATCATTCTTAATGAAGTATAAATCTCCATCTGCCTTTTTAGCAACCAGAGTGATTAGTTCCAGCAATCAACACCAAGCTGGTATTTCAGCCCTTATTGTGTTGTGCATTTTAACCTTCATGTCACAACTGGCATCCAACCTTCCCACTCCCACCTCACCCACAAGTTAAAATACCTTTAAAAAGGACTCTGGAAATTATCTTTTCCCATGTTTATAAAGGACATGACTCAAGATGTAGCAGGCAGAACACTTAACGTAGCAAGGTTGTAATGGCATATGTAAGGAATGAAGGAGAATCCCTTCAGACAGTGAATGCTACCTGATCTCTCAAATAAAGCATTGATCAATGGAACATTGTGAAGGTTGCAAGAATAGTATGGGTGTTTTCATTATTGTTAATTTCATTATTATCAAATGCTGCATTTCTAAAGGAGAGGTAAGGGAGAAATCTGAATTATGAAGACGACTATATAACTGAGTTGAAATAAATAGAACACAATGAGGTTATTGATGTTCCCAATTGATTGGTTGGTTTGAATTATGGCACGTGAGAACATAGTGTAGTAATATAGCTGGATGGGATTAAATTAAGTTTGGCATCTGGACTATTGACAGGCTTTAGAGCATTAGAGAAGGTTGCAGAGTATGAGTGGTGTCCAATATATCAGTAAAATCAAGTACTCTTAGAGATTTTGCTATTAACTTGCTCACACATTTATTTAGTTACTAGGATACATTTTGTAGACTGCTGGAAATTAATGTGTGTCAGATAATCCAGGGGCATGAAAACTCAAATTGGAACCTAGAAATACAGATACTCACCTAGTTCAGCCCTCTTCAACCTGGCATCTTCTGTGTGGGTTGGGACTGGAACTCCCAAACTTTGAAGGTTGGATTGGCCTTTGGCCTTGTTGGCCAGAAATCCTGGGAGCTGCAGTCCCAGCACATCTGGAAGATGCTACTTTGAGGCAGGCTGTTGTAGGGCATAGTTATACACCAAGGTCTCATGAACTACAACTCATGTCATGTTCCTTCTCTGTCCCACCTATTCCCATATTGCCTTCCCAATTGAATTGCTTTCTTTTTACTTTTTTGTGCTTCTGCTTTTGTTTCTCTCGTCCCATAGGATGTGCTTGAATTAGAAAGGACTCTTGGTGGCTATCTGTTAGAAGAGCCTAAGCCTCTACTATTTAAGGACAGTTATCACAACTTGCGCCTCTCAGTTCATGACATCCCTCATTCACTTTGGAGGAGCAAACTCCTGGCCAAATATCAGGTGAGTGGTTTAGCTATTAGTTTATCAACAGATTGGAGTGATCTCATAGGGCCAACTTTGAAATCATCCACCCTGGTGGGTTTGCAAAATTTTCTCACTACTCCCAGAATACATTTATTAACACATTCAGTTTTTCAGTGTGACTCATGTAAGTTTTTTAATGGTTGGTTCTCAGGAAGTCATTATGTAAACAGCCGGCTGCAAGCTCCTTCAATATTAGGAAAGAGACCTGTCTCCTTGATGGATCATAGGAAGGAAATTCTCCACTGTAATACACATGGGAATATCTTGGTTTTAAATGGGAGATAGTCCAGTTGCTGGGATTCTTATAACCTCGTCCCGTTCATCTCAATAAACTTTGCTAAAGAAAAATCTGTGAGAATCATGCTTGCAAAAGAATCACTTTCAGTTTTAGGCACTGCCAAAGATCCTGATATGTTTTTACCTTGGACAGTGGGCATGGTAAGAAATGTATGTTACTGACTCTCCTGGAAGACTTCAGCCAACATGCCTGTCGCATCCTCTCCCTCATCCATGTTTCATATTTTCATCTGTTCCTTTACTTCTCCATTCTCCCATAGAACTAAAACTCATGCTCCGTATTTACCTGAAAGGAAGACAAGTATGAATCTAAGCCCCTCCCGCAAATTCCATATAAACGCAGTAAAAAACGTGCCATGCCCAGCTTCTCCATCTTGGAAACCTGGATTGTGAACTCCCGCTGAAACCAATCTGGGAAATTTTCCCTCCTCTATAGCCCAGAACAGCCCAATTGAATTATACCAAAAACTTACCTAATTCAATGCAGTGTTTTCCACAGTGACCAGTCAGTTATCACTGGGAAACCCACCAGTAACATATGGGACCAATTACCTAGGATCTAGTAAACAAAATATAGACCATCAATCAAACTACAGTATAAGGTAGTTACCAGCTGCCTGGTATTTGACAGGAAGGAAGAGAAAGTACACAGGATTGTTTGCTTGTTTGTTTGTTTATTCAATGACCCATGTGTAGATTTCCAGTGTGGTGACATCCTGCTGTGCACATTTGTTCATCTTTTCTGTTACTTTCCTTTTCCTTCAGGAAATCCCATTCTATCACATTTGGAGTGGCAGTCAACGGGCACTGCACTGCACCTTCAGTCTTGAGAGATACAGCCCAGCTTCTACAGAACTCACCTGCAAAATCTGTGTTCGGCAAGTTGAAGGAGAAGGGCAGATATTTCAGTTACACATTACACTTGGAGAGGTAAGCAAGGGGAACTCAGATAAGAGAAGAAATCAAGCTGTGTTTGGCTAATGAATGAATGTGTAGGACAAAAGGAACATGATATTTAACGGTGGTCCAAGTGGCTTCTCTGAAATATTATGTTGGCCAGATACAATTGGTAAAACTTGGGCTAATGTTCATGTTAGGTTCCTCTAGTGCAATGTTTCTCAACTTTAACAACTTTAAGAAGAGTGGACTTCAACTCCCAGAATTCCTTAGCCAGCATGCTGGCTGAGGAATTCTGGGAGTTGAAGTCCAAAGTTGCCAAGGTTGAGGAACACTGCTCTAATGTTTAATTTCAGCCATGACTCACTTCTACCTTCACCCCTCCAAATTTTATTTTTATACAATCAGGTAAAGAAGGTCATATTTCTTAGTGTCTGCTAACATCTCTTTTGATACACCCATCCTTGTTCTACTAGGATATCTACAACGCAATCTGTTATATCATGCAACTCTTTCTGCTTGGGTATCTGGCTCACACAGGCTGTTGGAAATTTTAAACATCTCAGTGTTCCTATTTTAATTCTGGGCAAATTATTATTGCTGAAACTGTTCCTGAAAGCTCAAGAACTAAGAAGAGGGAGATAATTATTTAAATCTCAGTCCCCAAGACCTGCCCATATTTCTGGGATCATGGATGTTTGTTTGGCCAGGTACATACAGATTTGTACTGTCCACTACAGTTGCTTCTGTCAGGAGTAACAGTATTCATAGGGGAATAGTAGCAGTAGCAACAGCAGTAGTAATAATAGTATTTGTTAAGATAACAAAGGAGCTGGAGACGCATAGAATCAATGTGAGAATATTGACCACGTTGGTCTCTAATGACAAATAAGTAGGATTTCTGTTTTCTACACTTGCAAACTTTGGCAGAGGACTGATGTCTGCAGAGAAATATTTGAAAATACAGCCCCTGCAGAATCCATGGAAACCGAAAGAAGCCTTAAACAAGAGGGAATACATGGTGGGAAGGCTTCTGAGTATTGTATAATGATATGATAGCCAGGGCTCCTGTTGCACCTTGAGTAGATGGTAACGGGCCACACTGCTGAACTTTTCCCAGGCATCTACAGGTGGGGTGCTTATGACAGCTTGCTCCTAAACCTGTCAGTTTATTTTGGTTTCCTCCTTCCATCTTTGTGCTTTTATGAATTCTGCAGATCAGACTCAAGCATCAGAAGGAAGCAGCTTTGAGATGCATCTGCATATTTTATAAATTATCCTGAGTATAGAATTTGAATTTTTTTGAATGGGAAATTGCGCATCATTCAAAACGTTTCAAAACCAACTGACTTCCCTTCCCCTGCAGACTAATTTGAGATTCCTGTCCTAATTCTCTAAGACCCATTATGATTCATCCATGCATAGCAATATTAGATGGCTGTTTCCCTCTGCACTCACTGAGGCAGGAGACTTTGATGGTGCTATGAAGATCACCATTTACTTTTAAGACGTGATACCCTTCACGTTTCTATTGTTTTGGTTTTTAACAT